AATAAGATGCATAAACATGATAAACATCACATGCAATCAAATAGTGACATGATATGGCCAATATCATTTTGCTCCTTTTGATCTCCATCTTCGGGGCTCCATGATCATCATCGTCACCGGCATGACACCATGATCTCCATCATCATGATCTCCATCATCGTGTCTCCATGAAATTGTCTCGCCATCTTATTACATCTACTACTATGGCTAACGGTTTAGCAATGAAGTAAAGTAATTATATGGCATTATTCAGTGACACGCAGGTCATACAGTAAATAAAGACAACTCCTATGGCTCCTGCCGGTTGTCATACTCATCGACATGCAAGTCGTGATTCCTATTACAAGAATATGATCAATCTCATACATCACATATATTTCATTCATCACATCCTTCTTGGCCATATCACATAACATAGCATACCCTGCAAAAACAAGTTAGACGTCCTCTAATTGTTGTTTGCATGTTTTACGTGGTTGCTATGGGTTTCTAGCAAGAACGTTTCTTACCTACGCAAAAGCCACAACGTGATATGCCAATTGCTATTTACCCTCCATAAGGACCCTTTTCATCGAATCCGATCCGACTAAAGTGGGAGAGACTGGCACCCGCTAGCCACCTTATGCAACAAGTGCATGTTAGTCGGTGGAACCTGTCTCACGTAAGTGTATGTGTAAGATCGGTCCGGACCGCTTCATCCCACAATACCGTCAAAAAAAGATAGGACTAGTAACAGTAAGCATATTGAACAAAATAACGCCCACAACAACTTGTGTTCTACTCGTGCATAGAATCTACGCAATAGACCTAGCTCATGATGCCACTGTTGGGGAACGTAGCAGAAATTCAAAATTTTCTACGCATCACCTAGATCAATCTATGGAGAGACTAGCAACGAGAGAGAGGGGAGTGCATCTTCATACCCTTGAAGATCGCGATGCGGAAGCGTTACAAGAACGCGGTTGGTGGAGTCGTACACACAGCGATTCAGATCGCAGTCAATTCCGATCTAAGCGCCGAACGGACGGCGCCTCCGTGTTCAACACACGTACAGCCCGGGGACGTCTCCTCCTTCTTGATCCAGCAAGGGGAGAGGAGAAGTTGAGGGAGAACTCCAACAACACGACGGCGTGGTGGTGATGGAGCTCATGGTTCTCCGACAAGGCTTCACCAAGCACTACGGAGGAGGAGGAGGTGTTGGAGGAGGGGGAGGGCTGCGCCAGGGGAAGGGTGCAGCTGCCCTCTCTCTCCCTCACTATATATAGGGGGGAGGAAGGAGGGGGAGGCGCCCTAGGGTTCCCTAGGGGAGGGGCGGCGGCCACAGGGGAAACCCTAGATGGGTTTGGGCACCCCCACCCCCTAGGAAACTTGCCCCCCAAGCTAGGAGGGGCGGCTGCCCTAGGGGTTGTGCCCCCACCTCTCCTGGTTACGTGAGATGGGGTGGGAGGGGCGCTCTGCCCCTTAGTGGGATGATGTGCCCTCTACCCTTGGCCCATAAGGCCCCCCAATGCTTGCCGGGGCCTCCGGAACCCCTTTCGGACACGCTGGTCATCACCTGGTACCCCCGGAACAATTCCGGACTCCAATACCCTTCGTCCAATATACCGATCTTCACCTCCACACCATTCCGGAGCTCCTCATCATGTCCGGGATCTCATCTGGGACTCCGAACAACCTTCGGTAACCACATACTATTTCCCATAACAACTCTAGCTCACCGAACCTTAAGTGTGTAGACCCTACGGGTTCGGGAACCATGCAGACATGACCGAGACGTTCTCCGGTCAATAACCAACAACGGGATCTGGATACCCATGTTGGCTCCCACATGTTCCATGATGATCTCATCGGATGGACCACGATGTCAAGGATTCAAGCAATCCCGTATGCAATTCCCTTTGTCAATCGGTATGTTACTTGCCCAAGATTCGATCATCGGTATCCCAATACCTCGTTCAATCTCGTTACCGGCAAGTCACTTTACTCGTTCCGTAATGCATGATCCCGTGACTAACTACTTAGTCACATTGAGCTCATTATGATGATGCATTACTGAGTGGGCCCAGAGATACCTCTTCGTCATACGGAGTGACAAATCCCAGTCTCGATTCGTGCCAACCCAACAGACACTTTCGGAGATACCTGTAGTGCACCTTTATAGTCACCCAGTTACGTTGTGACGTTTGGTACACCCAAAGCACTCCTACGGTATCTGGGATTTACACAATCTCATGGTCTAAGGAAATGATACTTGACATTAGAAAAGCTTGAGCAAACGAACTACACGATCTTGTGCTATGCTTAGGATTGAGTCTTGTCCATCACATCATTCTCCTAATGATGTGATCCCGTTATCAATGACATACAATGTCCATGGTCAGGAAACCATGAACATATGTTGATCAACGAGCTAGTCAACTAGAGACTCACTAGGGACATGTTGTGGTCTATGTATTCACACATGTATTGCAGTTTCCGGTCAATACAATTATAGCATGAATAATAGACAATTATCATAAACAAGGAAATACAATAATAACCATTTTTTTTGCCTCTAGGGCATATTTCCAACACCTACCCCCTGGGTGCACCCTCCACCCTCGTGGCCGCCTGGTTGCATCTTTGACTTCATCTCCAAGTCTCCTAGTTTGCTTCTGGTCCAAGAAAGATCATCGCAAAAGTTTCATTCCGTTTGGACTCCATTTGGTATTCTTTTTCTGTGAAACTCTAAAACAAGCAAAAAAACAAAAACTGGCACTGGGCTCTCGGTTAATAGGTTAGTCCCAAAAATAATATAAAAACTCATATAAATGCATATTAAACATCCAAAACAGATAATATAATAGCATGGAACAATCAAAAATTATAGATATGTTGGAGACGTATCACAGTTCCATTGTAAATCTTATCAACTCATAGATTTTTAAGATCTGAGATTCCCGAAATAGTCGCTCCCCGCAATTGCATTGTAGCCTGCTCCACTCCTCGTTTTCAACTCTGCTGAGTTTGAGTGTTCGGTGCGCCCTCGACTCCGGGAGTGGAGTTGAGGAGCGGTGAGAATCCGAACACGCTGTTATTCTGTTCAGCGTAAGCGGCTAGAGAGTCGTCAAGCATTGGAGACAGCATGATTTCTCATTGAAAAGGAGGATTACCCTGGCCTCTGCATCAATCGATGCACGCAGCCATATTATTAAATAAAAATGTAACAAAGTCACGAGGTCCGAAGAAGCACATAAAATGAGCAGTAACCAAAATAAAATCTGAAAAACGCCACAACCGGCGATATAGAACTGAAAAATGCCACAACCGGCGATAAAAAACAAGTTACGATGCCTAGACACCTAGTCTATTATTAGCTCGCCACCCAAATCGTCTGAAGATAGCTCATGCTACCGTCTCCCAATGATTGCACCCAATAACCATAAGCTCCCTGAAGTCCATATGAGTGAGTAAGGACCACATGCAGATCCAAATTGTAGCTCTGTAGATAACCTGCAAAAATTTGGTGAATTGTGTCCCATTGAAAATCATATCATTTCTAGTGTTCCATATAGCCCAGAGTAGTGCACATACTCCTATCCGAATATGTTTAGCTAAATGTACGTCCACTCAATTAAGCCACGTTCCAAATAACATATTTATGCTCCTTGGGTGTTGAACGTTAAAAGCTGTATGGATTGATCGCCATAATAATTTTGCTAGAGGACATTCAAGAAAGTGGTGTTTAATCGTTTCATTTTGATCAAAAAGCAGCACCTAGAATTGCCAACCCAATTCCTTTTTGCCAAGTTATCTTTGGTTAGAATGACTTCTTTATGGACAAACCACATAAATATTTTAATACGAATTGAAACTTTAATCTTCCAAATGTGCAACGACTTCGACAATGGCCCGGAGTCAATTAGGTCTGAATACATGGATTTCACTGAGAAGATTTCATTTGTAGTTAACTTCCAGTGAATTGTATTGGCCTGATCCGATAGGTGAACCTCCATCAACCTATGAACCAGGTGCAACCAAGCAATCCAACGTTCCCCTACTAGGGATGTCCTAAATTGGATATTAAGCGATATCGAGTTTAATACTGTGGCGATATAATCCTCCTTACATTGCACAATATTATATGAGGGATATTGCAAAGCCAAAGGCATCTCCCCTAGCCATGTATCCTCCCAAAATCGAGTAGTATTACCATTACCAACTAGAAACTTCACTCGTTGGAAGAAAGTTGCTTTCGTCCTCATTAATCCCTTCCAGAAGGGTGAGTCTGTTGGCCTAGCGGTGACTTGGGCCAAAGTCTTAGAGTGCAAGTATTTATTTCGCAAGATTTGTATCCATATACCCTCGGTCTCAGAAGATATTCTGTATAGCCACTTGCTAAGCAGACATCTATTTTTGACCTCTAAATTCTCGATCCCTAACCCACCCTAGTCTTTTGGTCTGCAAATAATATCACATCTAGCCAATATGTACTTCTTCTTGGCTTCATCACTTTGCCAAAAGAATCAGAATCTATAAAAGTCAAGTCTTTTCCGTACCCCTACCGGTACCTCAAAGAAGGATAGGAGGAACATCGCAAACTCGTCAAAACCGAATTTATCAAAACCAACTGACCTCCGTACGACATGAGCTTGGCCTTCCAACAGCTCAGTTTCTTTTTAAAACGATCCTCTATACATTTTCATTCCTCGTTAAACGTCTATGATGAATCAGGATCCCCGATAACTAAAAGGTAAGGATCCCGTTTCACAATCGAACAAATTTCTATAGTCATCTTGTTCCTCTTTGGCATGATACATTGATAATACTGTGAACACTTTACTCCATTACTTCTTCTCTGGGAATCAACAAGTATCCATTAATTGTCCATACCCAAATTGTGCACAAGAAACATCTACAGTAGTACAGGCCATGCGTGAGGCATGCCACCGTCGTATCGCGCGCCACGGTTAACGTGTGTATAATACAAAAGAATTTTACATGATGGCCAGAAAATTGCACTACCAACCGAACCCAATCGAAGTGTTCGACCTGCTCAACGTCGGCGTAAAACCGGCCGGTCGGGCAGACCTCTCCTCAGGGCTTCCACGTGGCCGGCGGCGGCGGGGCGGCGGGGAACATGGGCGGCACGGCGGAGAACATGGTGTTCTTGTCGACGGCGCCGACGCCCGTGCCGCGTCCGCTGTTGGTGATGGCGACGAGCGCGGCGACGAGCCCGGCGTTGCCGACCAGCGTGGGCTCGTTCTGCGCGTAGCTGATCCTCGCGTCCTTGAACTTGTCGTTCTTGTCCGGGCCGCCGACCATGGCGCCTACGAGCACGTGAGGGTCGGCCTTCTTGGAGTCGCGCCACTTGTTCCCGCCGGTGCACGAGTACTTGATCCCGTTCTTGGGCGTGGACGCCCCACGGTGGTGCAGCCGCTTCGGGTACTTCTTGCCGTACCCCACCACGTAGCTCATCTTCATCGGGTTGTCCCCAAGAATGTAGTTCAGCTGCTCGACCATCACCACGACAGAGTTAAGCCACGCATTGCATAATCAATTAACTTGTAATAGATGGATCAACGACGATCAGATCAATGAATTATTACCTGGGATTTGGCGAAGGAGCGGAGGTCGTCGACGGTCATGAAGTTGGGGCCGCAGTACCAGCCGGGGACGTTGACGGACTCCATGTAGTCGGCGTAGAGCGCGGCGAGGAAGGAGTTGGCGACGGCGTACTGCAGCGCCTGGCCCTGGCCGTGGTTGAATTGGGCGAGCCCGCCCTTGGTGAAGTTGAACGCGTTGAACTTGGGAAAATACATGCACATGTTCATGCTGGTGACGTTGTGGTAGCCCATGAGCGACTCCTCGTAGGGATAACCGGGGTTGAGGAACATGCGCAGCCGCGACAGCAGCAGCGTGGCGCCGGGGAGCTTGTTGTCCCAGCTGAAGACGGAGAAGTCGAGGATGTTGAAGAAGGCCTTGGCGTTCTTGGGCAGCCTGGGGTCGGTGGCGAAGCTGATGTAGCTGTTGTTGCCCGTGGCGTAGTACATCCAGGAGGCGCTCCACATGAACTCGTCCCAGTAGCTGGTGGAGTTGTAGAAGTACTCGATGGCAGGGTTGCCCCGGGAGTAGGGGGTGCGCTTCCCGTTGGCGCGCGCGAACTTGTACACCGTCGCCGCGCCCTTCACCAGCTTCTTGGAGTAGGCGGCGTTGTCGCGGAACACGATGGAGGCTGAGGCCAGCGCCGCCGCCACCTCGCCGCCGAGGTCCGGGGCCGCGCTCGCCTGCTGGACCGGCCGCGGGTACGCCATGTCCTCCGGCCGGTTCCAGCAGAAGTGGTCGTCCGGCGTGCTGCCGTTGATCTTGGCGGTACCCACCTACAGGCACAAGCACGTACGTGTCAGACCATCACCTGCTGCTGAGTTGAGTACACCTTCACACTTCTACGAAAAATATTCCTTTGTTTTTTTGCTTTGTGATGGTGAACCGGTTCAGTATGACAAAATGTGAACACAAGTTGGAGAGCATCTTCGGATCGGATCGTGAACACCAAAATTAACAGCTACTGCTTGGTACTCTCTGAATGAGCTGCAGTGAGGATAGTTCAATTGGCTTGGAGAGTTGGGGTAACATGGCATGTCCCGTTAAGTACATGTAGAAAATTGGGTGTCGAACCCTAGCCTATTGATCTGATGGAGTGATAAGGGTCAAAGGTTGTTGGCTGTGCCGCGTGCCCATCAACATTTCTTGCTGGAACAAGGCTAGCTGTTGGGCGGTGCACACTGAATCGACCACGCCAGTTGCATTATTGCACACCCCCTTTCTTTATCTTTATGCCTTTTATATTCAGTGGATCAAAAGCACCACTTTAAGCAAAGCTCTCTCTATATGCCTTTTCTAATTAATGTTCTCAACTGAACTCACTTTCAAATATGATTTCCAAAAAAGTCTCGCTCTTTAAATGCTTGCTTGATGTTTTAACCGTGCAATTTTCAACGGTCGAGATGGACCGACCGGCCGACTGATGGGGAGAGCTCACCTGACTGTAGAGCTTGTTGATGGTGGAGGCGGAGGAGTTGAAGGTGAGCAGCAGGTAGTCGGTTCCCCACTTGATGAGCTCCCTCACGTGGTCGTACTCCCCGATCGCCTTGTACCTGTCGGCGTACTCCACCACCGACCAGCTCAGCAGCGTCATGGAGAAGGCCATCGGGAAGTGGAACTTGATGTTGTCGCCGGCGTCGTAGTACCCGCCGACGAGACCGCCCTTCACGTCCGGCAGGTCCGCGCCGTCCTTCATGCCCGAGTTCCCGCGCCACGGGATGCCGTTGTTCTTAGGAAGCTTGCCGGCTGTAATATCACCACAAAGAGCAAAATGTTCGTTAGATCCATGAGCGGTATCGAATTCTGAATTTTCTGATCACAGTAGCCAAGATCAAGCTTGTAAAGCACTCCTAGTAAGAAACTGGAAATTGAACTTGCAAGTCAGATCAGGATCTAGAAATGCGGATGCTTTGCATCTGGTGAGATCCAGAAGCAGAGCATAGGCAAGACCTACAGCGACATCCATGTGCGGGGCTAAGCTAAAGAATGGATCAATTGGCTGGCCTACATGTGCGTGAACGTGCCGAGATTCGTACTTTGAAATTTTCAGAGATTTATCTGAATATCAGCTTGTCACTTTCTGCAAGGGGGCAGGGACAGACCGTGAACAGGACGGCATAACATTCCAAGCGTGGGGGTTGCCGTCGTACGCAGCTGTACCCAGCTCCCGATCACAGACTACGTGGTGGTCTCCCTTTCTTTCTCCCTTTTGCTTGGCATCAAGATCATCAAGGTGTAATTGCGCACTTAAGATCACGGATCAAAACTACAAATTTAATGTCCTGCGGTTACTTAGCGATTTCTACGCGAATTCTTGAGTTCAGACTCGATCAAAGGCGGATCCGCACAGCTTCCTAGTAGTACGGATCGGGCAATTGATCATTCACAAGCTAGCAGAGCAGGTGGAGGGGTGAAGAAGGAGGGGTGCTCACATTTCTGGGCGTTGAAGAAGAGGAGCGCCTTGTGGAGGGCGTCGGTGTACTTGTCGGGCGGCGGGGCGTGGGGCTTCTTCTTGGGGATGTTCTTGGCGATGATGATGGGGAGGCCGATGAGGACGAAGGCGCCGAGCACGACCCAGAGCATCCACCAGAGGAGCTTGCGCTTGACGACGACGCAGCCGAGGTCGACGTAGCGGTCCTTCTTCTTGGCCTCCGGCGGGCCGAGCAGCCAGCTCTGCTGCGTCTCGTCCAGCTGGTGCTGGTGCTGCAGCGCGCCGCGGTCGATGTCCATGTTGCGGCTCTGGTCGTCCTCCGCGCCGTCGATGTCGAACGCCCCGCCCCAGTGGTTCTGGGAGTGCATGGTGGCTCCCCTCCTGGACGGCCGCCGCTGGGGCTTTCTTGGTCGGAGTTGGCTCGCGCGCGCGCGGTTTCGGGCGGTCGATCAGCGCATGAAGAAGGAGGAAGACCGGGTGGGGAGTGCTGTGGCTTACTGGCGGTGAGGTGCGGAGCCCGGAGGGAGGCTGGGTGGGGTGTGGTGCGGTGGCCGGGTGGGGAGTTTTGAAGGGGAGGGACGGGGGCGGTTGACTTGAGGAGCTGGGGGAGGCGTGCCACCGTCGCACCCGCACCCGCACCGTGTGGGGACTGGTACTGGGAGTGGGATGGGAAGGGGAACGAAGGGTTGTTGGGGGTCTATTCATGTGTGACTACACCTTTTTGCCGCGCTGATTTACCGCTTGTGCTGCACTGCTACGGGCACCAACAAAATGACGCACGCCTTTCTACTATTGGTTGTTTTATGATTTTTTGCCGCCGATGCTCTCGGCTCGGTAAGTCCATATATAACACAATAACCAAAAC